GGCGCTCGATTGCCGAAAAGTTTTGCACACGAAAATTGACGCTGAGCGGTAAAAGTTTTAGGCATTTCGTTGGGAAAAACTATTCACAATAAATGAAAAACGCGCAACGTGTTTTCCGGCCGAGCTAAATGAAATTGCGGACACAACTGCGAGACGATGAAACTATTTCACGAACTTCGATGCAAATCACATGGAACCAAGAATGGGGCCAACAACAAAACTTTACAATTAATTGATAAATACTGAATCGCCTTGATTGATATTGCCAACAGGTGTCTATCAGTCTGATGATCGCCAAATGCCGCCTGGTAACGGGAAAAAACATGTGCTCGCTTCCCTATTACAGCGCAAAGTTTTTGAGAAGAGGAAGAGCTCGTTGTAATTGGGAACATAAAGGGGATGAAAGAGAAGACATTCGACATATACATATATGTTCAAAAGGTTGATCGAGCTTGTGTTTTTTTTTTTCTCTGAAATTATTTAATTATTCATGAATATCTCTCAAAGTCACAAGCCTTAAAATATGTCAAAGTTAAAGTAAATAAATAATTATAAAAGCATTAAAGAATCTTTTTTTTTTTAAGTACATAAAAAACTCTAAGAAACTACGCCCTTTTAGATCATAGGCGAGCCCAAAGCGCTTTATGGGTCACATATAACACTAAAGGTGTTTGCAGCCGACGAGAAAAAAAAAAAAACAGTTATAACAGTAAAGATAAGATTGTTACGTTTGAATTGTAGAAAATAAAGTGAGTTGAAGCTTGAAAGTTTAAAAATTGAATATCTATAAATAGTTGAAACTTAAATTAATTAAAATGTTTATTAAAAAATAATATTTTTATAAATTATGCACTTTTGATATTTAGAATAAGTAATAGTATAAAATTTTATAAGAATTTACGGAAGCCTGAAGGCAAACAACTTTAATTACACGATGTATTTTTAGCAAGCTCTATAATATATAAATAATAACATCTATATAGTATATAAAATATGATTTGTGAGCGTTAAGCAAACACATTGTAAAACATCTCATACGTAAGCAAATTTGAGTTGAGAATCGTTCTTATCACCACGATTTTCTTTATCATTCACAGATAAAACGGCGCTAGGCGAGCGAGAAGATGCTGCAAAAGAGCAACAGAGAGAGAAAGAGAGAGAGAGATAGAGAGAGAGAGGTGGAGCGACAGGCAAAGAGAGGATGAATATCCATTTCAGAAATATTACGCAAAAATTTTATACAGCGATATGAAGCAGATAGACTTTGCTTTTGGGCTTAAGGAGCTCTTGACTTGTGTAAATGTATTCCCAGGTCTATGGCAAAAAGGGGGTAAAATTAATTTCCAACAAGATTACAGCTTACAGTATTCCGATTGTTGTTTCCACTTGAGATCTCGAACCTGACGTGTTTTATAAAATAAATATTTTGAAAGTATTCTGCTTCTTCCAATATTTGATAAATATGTTGAATATATCAATATAAATCTTAGGTGTTGAATTCGTCTGATTTTTTTCATAAATTTCATAAATTCATAAATTAAATCAATATATATATTTAATTAGATTAGTATATATATAACAACTATTTAAATTTGCCATTATTTTGAATTCTGCGGAATTGGCTTAACAGTTAACTTAACATTATAGCAAAAGTGAGCAGCATGCGTTGACAGCGACGCAAACATAGACCGCTTATGTTTTGCAGGTTAAATGCAATTATGAATGCTAAGCGCCATCTATTGTTCAAATACACTTATAGTGTGTTCTTACCAAAAGTTGTTGTTAAAGCCATATCGCCCTCTAGAGTCCGTTTGTGAAAACAGAGACAGTGCTTATAGCGTTGAAAGTTTGCATGGCAGCTGAGTTTATTTCTCAAATGAATATACAAAAGAAAACTACAACAATTAATTTAATGAAATATTCTATTAAAATTCATACTTCAATCTTTGAGTTTGGTCATTTAATAGAAATTTGTTGTATTTTATTGAAAAATATTCAGCATCAGTAATTGCCTAAAAAATACCATAATACCGTTTCGTCACACAGCGAACAAACTTGTTATTTGTGGTATTTTTAAGATATATCTGCTACGGCCATATTTGGTTTGTTGTTCGTAGTTGTTGTTGTTTCGACGCCGAAGAATCAGCACGTCGGAGCGCGGCTGTTTTAAAGCAATAATTAATTACGAGAAAAAGTGTATGCAAAGGCGACAAAGCGCTAGATAAGAGGCCATTAAGCATTATCTAAGCGTGGAAGGCAAACACGACCCCGCGATTAGATAGAAATAATATCAAAATAAAGTCAAGTCTCAAGACAAATGTGCAGCAACAACAGAAGCCATCAATGTCGCTGCCGCCGCGTGCAAAATAAAAAGCAAAATAAATAAAATAAGAAATTTACAAAGAAAGAAAAAGAGTATGAAAGCAGAGTGCCAGGTGCCAGCGTCCGCATAGTTTGTTTGTCTCTCATGTCTGCGCTTCGTGTCGCGTGTTTGTGTGCGTGTCAGAGTGTTTGATAGTGGTCGCTGTGGTAGCTGTATGCGCCCGTGTCTCTGTGTGTGTGTGTGAGCTCTTGTAAGTGCACCTGCCAGCCTGCCTTGGAGAACTTGCAGCCCCCACCCGCCGCTCGCCGGGCTCCCCTCCGCCCCTCTCCAGCTGAGACTGCAACATCAACAAGAAATTTCGCTGACCAGCGCCGCGTGTGTTTGTATGAAAATGTCATTGTCAGTGGCGACGCTGACGCCGTTGCTGAATAAAGATAAAAGATAAAGATAAAAATAAAATCAAATAAAAGTGAATCAAAACGTCTACATGTGTGTGCCCCTGTGTGTATAAGAGAGCAGAGAGCGCGCTTCATTAATCCGTCTAGCTGTTGTTACCGCTGTTAAAGTTGACGTCGACGTCGACGTCGCCGTTCCAGAAGAGCGTAGCAGCAGCATCGAACACACAGTTGCCATTCGATTTAACGTCCAAGCTCACATTCAAAATCCTGTGAAAGAAAAAGGCAAACGAGGTGAGTGTCTGAACACCGTTAATTGTAAGTGGCGCATTTCTGACACAGTTTCTCTTAATCAATGGGGTTGAAAATTGAAAATTCCTATGGATGCTGCTCCAAGGCTGGCTCTATGTGTCGAAATTTCTGTCAAGCTGCTATATGGGGGCGCCAGTCGGTTTGGGGGTGGTTTTTTGTTGGGCCAGCGCTCAGCTGATATGTATGTATGTGTGTGACTTGGTGTGTGTGTGTGTGTGTACGCATACGCATCTTTAGCGAGTGTACTTGCGTATGCATAAATAGGTGTATATGTGTGCAGAAACACACACACGCGAAGCTGTGTGACTTTGAGTGCGGACTTTGTGCTTTGAAGGCCATTGGCGGCATTTATTTCTGCGCAAGCAACAACCGTTAGAAGAGGCTCGCAACCAGTAAAACAACATTTGGCCATTAGAGCTTTAAGTTTTGCGGCTCAATCAATAGATTTGTTGTTGTTTCTTTAAATTCTTTACATTGCTGCAATGAACTTGACCCAAAGGCAAACCTTCAACGGAGCACGAGACACGTCTGAGCGTCTGTCTAATTGGAATTGAATTATAATTTACAGCCTTAAAGCGCCTCATAACTACTTCGTAAATATATGTGTGCATGTACATACATATGTATGTGCATATATCATGGAGTTAATAGCTCAGTTTTGTTCATTAATCACAATGACTATATTTTTACCTCACTATTTTTTTTTATGTTTTGTAATGAGTTTCTAAAAATAGACGAGAATCGGCACATGTTTTTCTTATGCTCTTATACATAACTCTTATAAGAATCGAGCTGCTGGAAGCGCAGTATGAGAACAGTTGAGC